CTCTTGGGCACCGAAGTGGCCCATAGGCTCCGATGGGGCCCATAGGTGACATAGGAACAAATACAATTTTTTAAACACAAAACAACAAAATTTCTCTGGATCTCCAGGCCACCGAGAACAGTTGCAAATGAAAGTGAATGGCCTACGAGAAAAGAGAAAAATATTCAATAATGGAAAAAAGTGCTAATTGGAGATTATAAGCCTAATCATGCTGTCCAGGATCCTATCCTGTTTCCGGGGACCTATATGCCCACTTGTAGTGTCATCTCGATCGTTAAGGAGCCTTCCACGTTAGCCCTGACTGCTTTGCGTTTGCTCAGAGGGCCCTGCACTGTTTCTGTGCTCTTCCTGCCAGCGTGCCGGGGCGCTCTTGTCAATCAGAGGCCTTCCACGGATTATTTCCAGTCACCAGGAAGGCTCTGTGGGCTATAGCGGGGGACCCCCATGTTAATTTGCCCGGGTATTCTCGGTAGCCTGGGGACCTCTTCACGATTGGTTTCGGTTCACCTACCGACACACTTGCGATATGCTCATGGGCCCTCTGCATTGGTCTAGGGCGCTTCCAATTTTATGTCACTTGCTTAGGGCCCTACGCTCTTCTCGGGGGCTCATCTGTTAACCGGCTTATGCACACTCTGTCGGTCGGGACCCTGGAAACTGGGTGCAGGGTACTTGCCACTTGAATGGAGGGCCCTGCACGCTTGTCGGGGCTCCATCTGTTAACCTGCTCCGGCACACTGGATTGCTTAGGGGCCCGGCACATTGGGTATTTTAATGTAGTGACCTATGCTCTTGTCAAGGCCATCTGATAGCCTGCTCGGATACACTCCAATGTGCTCCAATGTAAATATGGTCTGAACTTAGTCGAATGAAGAATAAACAGCCGAGTCACAAGCTGAGCCGGATTCCACAATATGTGAGCCAGTCCGGAGCTGGTTCAAGACATTCGATTCAAACCCAAGTCTGATGCTAACCACATTGCGAGACTAGTATCCTATTCCTTGCAATACCTGGATGAAAATATCCTTTCCAATGCCTGAATATATCATTATCCTGAATAGTCCTGAATATATCATCCTTGAACAATATATCATTCTTCACGAATATATCAATATATAGTCCTGAATATATCATTATCATTCTCAGCCGGTAGATAACACTCTTCTGTAAATTATGCGTGAGAGTTTCTCCAGGCACGCCGCCCAATCACTTCCACCATCCCCCCCCCCCCCCCCGCCCTAATGACCACCAACCGACCGACCTCGCTGCGCACTAGGAGCAAATCGCATTCAAATGGGAACTGAGATCCCAAAATGGTGAAGGCTTTCTACTCCCATGGGAAGAAAAAAAACCACGACGTCCACCTCTGTACAGCCTCATATACTCTGGTCAGCCTTGGGTTACTGGGCTGCTCTGTTTGCTATCTATACGTACTAGACGCCGCCACTTTTAGTACGCATCGGTACTAAACACCGTTTCCTCTCTTATCAATGATACGTACTAAATATTCTCGAGGATGTGTTGTTTATCCAGTGTCCTAGAATTGCCGACTTTGGGTGTACAGCAACACCCTATGTGGAGGAATTTTTCACTCCTTTTCTCCATATTTTATGTGAATTTTTCACTCCTGCCTGACATTGTCTAATCGCACATGCCAAACCGCTATTTCCCTTTTTGAGGTTTTCAGATGTCATCTAAAATCGAGCTCACTTGAAACCACCAAGCATAAACGAGGCTCCGCAGAACCTGGACACCAATGGCTATGTCCTGCATCACCTGCATCTGAATCATGTCTATGTATGCACAGAGCAAGGGCGCCAGCTACCTCCAAGCCCAAGAACCCCAGCGACCCCAGCCGCTTGCAGGCATTAAGTTTGGTTTGTTTACAAAATGCATCACAATCTGCAGCTGTGCGTCAAATGCAAGGTTTTCACGTATCCCCTACTTTTTGGTTTTACCACCACACCACGAAAGCAGAACCTGGCGCAAATACCAGCAAGGCCTGGTAGAGAATTTTACTCCACGTATTTCTTTTTTCCCGAGGAAACTTGACCACTAAATTGCATCACTCTCGAAATGCATGAGTGGAAAGTTCAAGAAATGGCCTACGAATTAAAATTTCAAGATGAATATCACCATTTCAGCGCTTCTATTAACAGATTTTAAGTCACATCGGCTGATTACAAAATTTTGCGAGAAAAGTGCCGGTCTTTATATTTATTTAGCTACTTTTGTTTTTCTGTATCATACCAGTGTCATACCACTTTCTTTTTCCTTACTTTTCGATTGTCTTAGAGGTACCATCTGCTGCTTAAAATTTTGACCAAGTTCCCTGCAAGATGTTCCAACTGCAAACTTGTATGTTCTTTGTACATAAATTGGATTAATTCGCCAGCCGCCCAAAACATGTTTGATATGCACCCATGCGTGAACAATTCACAGGGAGTGAAGGAGACAATTTGAAGCATGGAACTTATTTTTACCGCCTTTTTTGCCTTCTTAAACCTTCGGTTAACCGTTTTCTTGGTTCATGGCGGTGCTCAATGATGATAAATCCAAGCCTTTCGAGCATCTGGCTCACCAGGCTATCTGGCAAGGCATCAGCATTAGAATAAGTGCTGCCATACGGAGCCTTGGGACAGACCTGACGCAGCTAATACAGAAGTGTTTGATGGCGAAATTTTTCCCCTTTGGAGATATTTATCATGCACACCTCTTAGTTGTCTCGCATTTCATTCTCAAAGGTTGGTAGGCATGATTTATATTTATATTTTGGGAGTGAGTCGGATGACTCTGTCTGGAAGCAGACCAGACAAAAGGTACTAAGTTTTTGTTTTTTGGGAGTAGGAAGAAGCCAGCAAGTCTGCTGTGGACCAAGTAATTCCTTACCTTACCTGCTTTCAACATATGATTGCTAACCACAGTGAGCCCTTTTTTGCTAAATGCATCGAGTTTTACCATGAGACAAATTATGATGCCACAAGGCATGCAATGGGCTTGTTTTGTGCCATATTCTTGATTACTTGCCCCAAATTTCCTTGTTGTTCAAACTGTTCACCAAACCCAAAGTTGTTCAAACTGATCTGAAGCGTTTTGATTCGTGTGTTGTCAACTTTGTCTGATGTCAACAAGCATACACAAATGAACTGAATAAAAATGCTAGTTGGAACCAGCCAAAAACTGGCTTTTAATGTCATGTTTTTTATCACAAGTGCTGCTGTCAACAGATAGGTTAGTTGAGATGATGTTCATCATATGAACTACTCTAAGTTAGGTTAAGTTGGTCAAGTGCATGGCAAGTGGTAATAGGAATTGTGCAAGAATCAGTAACTCACAACAGCTGCTGCGATGCAAACAGCTTATACAGGATGCGGTGATGTAAGGCCTCTTTAGGTAAGTCATGGGCTACTTTCATGGAAATAAGCATTGGTATTTTGTAAGAAACGGTGACAAAATGCTTGTTTTCCCTGACCCCATCTTAACAGAAGCCAGAAGTATGTTACTGTGTTTGACTTGGTGATGGGCTGATGTCTAGGAATCAACTGTTTTTTTATTTGGGTGTTTAATGCGCGTTGAATTTTCTGTTGTTATTTTGCTATTGATTTCCTTTGCTTTGTTTTGTTCTAAAAATGCTGTGGAAGGAAATTGAAAAGTGCAGCATCAAATTATTGATGTGAATAATTTGTTATGCACATAATACTGTCGTTAAATTAGTATGCCTTAACATGCTCCCGGTTGGCCGGCTAGATACCCTTCGCTCAGGTGGGAGGGGGGGGGGGGCAATTTGATAGCCCTCTGAGATCTCGCGAACTAAGAAAGCTAGAGACACCAAATTGCAGGGTGTCTTGACCTAGACGTGAACTCACTGAGGTTAGGGTTTCAGCTTCCCAAGTCATGAACTTTTGGTCGAATAAGGTCAGACAAGGTCAAATTCCAGGTTGGTCTCCAAAGCGCCCACAGAACCTAGGCAACTGTCTCTAAGGAAAAGTTCACAAGCCCAATTGAGGTCATTGACTTTGTTTGACCCTTTAAAGGTCATGGTGACCAAAATGATACAAGACTGATCTGCGTTTTGCATTTGAATAAGCGACTAAGATTACACCAGGTAGTATGTTCCTAAAACAAAACGTTCGACCCGGGTCATCTTAGGTCAGTGGCCTGTTATGACCTCTAAGAAGTCAACTGAAGATGTATAATGCCGTTCGTGCTCTCAATGAATTCGAAATGAGCACCAGAAACTATGTCATACAGCAAGCCCTAGAGTAATGAATCAGATTGGTTTTGACCTTGGTTTGACCATCAGACCTGACCTTAGGTCAACGTAACTTGCTCATTCAATATTTGTGGTGTCTAAGAAAGCATCTCAGAGATGTACGTCTTCGTCAAACACTCCGTTGTTGTATCAGATTGAAAGATTCCCTAGAAATCGCCTTGGCTGAAACCATGGGCTGATTTTGACCTGTCATAAGTCAGCGACCTTACAAGGTACATCTAAAATTTGTATGTCAAACGATCCGTTATGCAATTTTCTACAGCTATGCAAAATTGGGCGCAGCTACGCCACGCCGTTCAGAAACCATTGGGGAAAAACCCTCGGGGGTCAATTTGCCCCCTCCCCCCACCCGCCACCCGAGCGCGCGTTAACGTATTCTGTTTCACTTTAATGGCCTAAGATGTTAAAAAACGAAATGGTTTTGTCAGGTTCCTGATATTACGTCCATGCCAACTTGAACTAGATGTCCTTGTTTGCTGAAGCATCAGTCACGAGCTCTTAAGTTCCATCTTTTCTAATTGATTTTTTCACTCCCGCGTGGTCTTTTTGCGATGGAATTTTTCACTCTCACCCTAGTTCAAAAGCGATTCTATCTGCCTGTGTTTACCCGGCCTGGCAGCGACGTTTCGTCAGCTGAATAGCCGGTCCTCATTACAGACCTAAGCCGATGCTCTTTCCTCTGCAAAACATTGTCGGCCGAAAGGTAAAGAAAACTGGGCCATACACGATGCGTCTAAAACAAGTGATCGCTAGTGACAAAGGTTTGACTGTTTGATTAAAGGACTGTACAGGGACGAATGGTAAGTTATCATTAAGGGTGGTGTGTAATGGACGATCCATCCATGACCACAGATGAAACTCAACTTCCCGTTAATGAGCCGTTGCTGCTATCTGCGTCTGGAAATTCACTTCATGCATTTCTGCATTGACTGTTGTGCTCTTGCTCTGATTTTTTTTATATAATCTATTCCTACCATTAAGCACATGGGCATTTTCGAAGTTCAGTTGAGGGCAAGGGAAATGCGGAGAGAAGTTGATGAATCGCTCGAAGGAAGGCCGGTGAACACACGCCATTGACCACAGACATGGTTCCTGCGCAGAGGCGCAGCCAGGGGGAGGAGGCGCCCCTCCTCCCTTAGCCCCTGATTTTGTGTTTAAAAATTGCTGCCGGTAGCTGCTAATAATCAGTTGAAATTTGTGCGATGTGTCCTCACCAAGCTCGCTCCTCCCCCTCCCCATCCCCCTTAGGAAAACTGGCGGGGCCACTGACCTCAAGTCTGACGTGTCATCGTCTGATACAACCGATGCATTCCATGTTGTTGAAGTTGGAGCTCGTGTTATGATCACCTCTTACACCACTTCAACACTGCAGTATTGGAGGAGGAGAGCGAGTCCGGTGCCCAGACGGTTGGGGTTTTCACAATCATCCAACGTCTGGGAGGTATTCTTAAATAGATTGCACTAGCACTCTCCTGGCGCTGTTCGGTGGTATTTCTGAGTTGATTTAGCTCTGTTTTGGGCCATCAGACTGTTTCATTAGTCTGTGCACTTCGCCAGGGATGTGGTCGCGGCAGAATCGCCTGCTGCTGCTGCTGCTGCCGATTGAGTGTTTTGCCGAGACAATCCCATTGTCTGAATCTTGAGTCACCAAGGTCCGAGATCACCGCTGTCATCGATCCTGATCCCAGAGCGTGATTTTTGGACGCACCTCTGTGTCATCTCGATAGTCTCCGAGAATACGCCAGCCTTTCCCTCATCCATGACCACGCCACAGCCTCCGCTTCCTGACTCCTGAGCACACTCCAGCGTCTGCGCTCTGACTGCTGGGCACGCCTCTGCCCCTCCACCCTGAGCGTGCCTCTGTCCCTTCCCCATGATCCCGCCCCTGTTCATATTTCCTGACCCCTGAGCGCGCCCCTGCTCCTTCTCCATGATCCCGCCACGGTCCATACTCCATGACCCCTGAGCGTGCCCCGGCCCCTTCTCCATGATCCTGCCCCTGTTCATGCCCCGACCGCTGAGCGTGCCCCTACCCCTTCTCGATGATCCCGACCCAGTTTGTGCATCCTAACGCCTGAGCGCGTCCCTGCCCATCTGCCGTGGTTTCGCCCTCGTCCGCACTTCCTGACCCTGAGCGCGCCCCTGGCACCCTCCCGTCAGCCGTCACTGGAGGCGGCGCGCCGGGCGTGGCCGGCGTCAGTCGTACCGCTGGCGGCACGATACGCGCTCCGCTGCTCCTGACCCTGCTGGACGGCTGCTGGTGCGCGCGGGCGGCACCACCCACCCTCCAGCTGGTGCACGTGCTGTACCGTCACGGCGCCCGCACGCCGATCAACCCGTATCCGACCGACCCGAACCGGGGCGCCTGGCCGCAGGGCGACGGTCAGCTGACGAATGAGGGGAAGCGGAACCAGCTGGAGCTGGGCCGCTACCTGCGGCGGCGGTACGACGGCTTCCTGCCGGCGGCCTACCATCTCAACTACACGCGCGTCGAGTCGACTGACGTGGACCGCACGCTAATGTCGGCGCAGGTCAACCTGGCCGGTCTGTACCCGCCGCAGGGCGCTGATGTGTGGGACGCCCAGCTGGCCTGGCAGCCGATCCCCGTGCACACGCGGCCCGTGCAGACCGACCTCAAGCTGAAGTCGTACGAATGGTGCGCCGCCTACCAGCGCGAGCGCGAACGCGTGTTCGAGTCGCCCGAGATGGCGGCGTTGGTCGCACGGAACGCCGCGCTGTTTGCCTACCTCGGCGAGCACAGCGGCAAGGACGTCACCGACCTTGAGAAGCTCAGCTACCTGTACGACACGCTTTGGATCGAGGCGTACCACAACCTGACGACGCCGGACTGGGCCTTGGCGCCGCCGCCGGGCGCCACCGCCCCCGCCTTCCCCGACCTGATGAAGCCGCTGAACGACATCGAGTTCGGCGTGTTCGGCGCCACGCCGTTGCTACGCCGTCTGGGCGGCGGTCCGCTGCTGAAGGAGATGCTGGAGAACATGCAGGCACGAGTGGATGGCACGCTGCAGCCGCCCAGCCGGAGGATGTTCATGTACTCGGCGCATAATGTGAACGTCGCCTGTGTCCTCACCACGCTGCAGGTACGCTGGCTGGTGGCGTTTTCGTGCTGCGTGTCACGTACTGTGCCCACTCTCTCCCGTGCAGCCGCCGAGAAAACTATATGGGCCCCTGGTAGGAACGGGCACGGCATGGCTTTTGTGGACGGTTTTCAGCACCAGCCTTGATTTCAAGTTGGAGAAGGTTTTAGATGATTTGGCACGGCGCTTAATGTCTCGCTATTGAGAACAGAGTTCAAAGAGGTGCAAACCAAAGCTGACGTGGATCAAGGATAAAATTAGACCCTGAAAACTTCGCAGTGAAATCTTGGTGATAATGATTGCAGCATACAATCATAGCAGCAACCATGCAATCAAAGCAGCAGCATGCAATGATTGCGCCGGCCTGGAGACAAACCTCACGAGATGATTAAGCCACCCCACGGACCGGATCACCTTGGGACCATCATTTGCTTTGACATTTATTCCTTATTCCTTTGACATTTATTCCTGACATTTATGAGTCTTCCACGGGCGTCTTAACTTTCACATATTCAGACGGATTTGTTTCGGTGACACCGACCGCCTTATGAGCGTTATGCACGTATCGCAATTTTGTCATCCTTTTTGCGAGAATGCTTGGGCCGCGTGTCAGGCCTCCAGGCTACATTAGATTCTGCAGAGAGGTGGAATCCTCGTACCCGAGCCGTTCTTCAGCCGTGCAGCGAACACTCTCGGTATCTTTAGTAGCTCCTGCCGACCCCAGAAGCCTCTTTTTCGACAACCATGCCGCCCTACGTCCATTTTATATGTGGCCGTGACTCCCCGGTCGTTTTGGGGTTCCGTAGCCTTGATAGTCTCGGATCGTCTTCAAGGCCTCTTAGATGTCCGCGAGCCTGTGAATCCTCCACTCTGTGCCAAATTGTCTTCAGAGGACCACTCCTCATCTGCTTGGCTAAAATGATGACAGTAAGACAAAATGCACAGCTAGTCGGTTAGGTGCCTATGTCGAACATGCGCAAGGCATAGGTCTATGGAATGCTTGCCAGAACTTGTTCGACAAGCGCAACATGCTGAAATCGTAACAGACCAAACATGCTCGTGCCATCGCACCACGTCCAACACCCGATCGTCCTCGCCGCCCTCGCGTCTCCGCGTGCCCTAGGTCCCCCATCCATCATCACCCGTTCGCCGCCTCCGCAGGTCTACAACGGCCTAGCGCCGCCGCTGTCCAGCTGCCTGTTGGTAGAGCTGCACTCGGACCCGGACGCGGGGCCGCTGGTGCAGCTGTTCTACAGAAACGACAGCTCCACGGAGCCGCACCAGCTGCAGCTGCCTGGCTGCGACGTCAGCTGTCCGTGGAGCGAGTTCGTGCGCCTGACCAAGAACGTGGTGCCCGACGATGTTGCCGGGAATGCAAGGACGAAGGTCACGTTGGCAACGGGAGGGGACGTAGGAAGGCGTGACATCTTGTTCGGCAACAGTGACATCATTGAGACGGTCTGTCGCGCGTGCCGGTATGCTTTCGGATTACTAGGCGCTGCTGCTGTGCTATCGACCGCTGTCTGCTGGTGATCCCCGCCACAGCATTATATCAGCATGTTGCCATGTACTACTTTTGGGCACTATCGGTGGACATTGTGTTTGGGCTTGCAACTATCGGAGGATGCAGACTGCGATTGCGGGCAGCGCACGTGACTGACAAAGAGGTTCCAGCCTTGCAGAAGTTACCGAAGTTTTTTTTTAGAAGGGCGTGACAGTAAAATAACTGGCATGATGTCATACTTGTGGCCGATTTCGCACCAACAAAACTAATTCCAACTCAGACTCACAGCACAAAATATCCACTTTGATTCCACCTCCGGACAGGACGCAAGAGCTGAACGCGGGCTCTGATTCTGACTCATGAATGCAGGGCATAATTTCGAGATATTTATTCGACTGAGTCAATTGCGGGACACGATGTGTTCTATGAGCCACAAACTTGCCTTGGTTCTCGTGATACGACCGACATATGACTCAAGACGTCTTGCACGGATGCCAGCCTGTTCCTTCGCAGCCTGCTCTACGAGCACACGGTCTGAGCGTGATAGAGAAGGTGCGGCAACTTCATGGACGTGGTGAGAAGTGTTGTGTCTGCTGTTTGGTCGGTCACGACGCGAAAGGCGTGTCCGTAAACATCCCGCGAACAGTCGGCGCGCAGCAAATGTGGAAGCACCGACTGATGTGTGAGTTTCTCTCTGCTCTTCGCCACACCCAGCTCAGTGTCACATTTCGACTGCAGCATCTAAGGACGTGGACGATTTCAATCACGATTCGCCTTTTGTAGGCCTACCCACGCACTAAGTGACTGCCCACGCACACTTGTTTGGACATAACCAAACTGAGAAGGTTCTCAATGGTCTTCAAGCAAGGAATCACTTTCACCATGTGGTGTTATTTTGTACATCACTTTCACAACGTCTATCTGCGGGGGTGACAAATATAGGACCTTAGAGATGACAAGTGAAAGTGAAAGAAGCTTAACCAGGAGGGGGCTGCAGACGCTTTTATCAGGGTTGGGAATATGTCACATGTTATGTATTAGGGAAGTCTCAGTACAAGCCTGACGACTGCGACACCTGACCACCGAGACCCGAATCGGTTGCCAACCCGTGTCCTCCAGCCTTTTCACGATGTGAAAAGCACACGTTTCCGGTGTTGGTCGCCGGTCGCCGAAGGGTTCTTTTTATTATCTGTTTCTTTTTTGGCACCTCGCAGGTGTTCATCACAAATGAAACGAGTAGGACGCATGGGCTTCCCAACGAAACCATGTACCTTCCATGTTTTTCGCGCAGTTTGCGCCTAAATTCGTAAACCACGTTTCTTCCCGTGCAAACGCCCTAAAACCCTGGCATGCATATATGACACCTACTGCACCTCAGGCACTTTCGAGATAAGATATTTAACTAGAGAGTTCTCTAGCTCCTTAGCTAAATAATCCTTCTTCTAAGCTGCGCGTAAGCGCGGTTTTATTTTTGTAAGGATATGTTGAATTTTCCAGATCAAGTGTTCATCTACGTCAGGTAGTGTTAAGCCAACTTATTTACTCAATTCAGCCTTTACAATGGGCCGTACAGACGGGGGTGGATCTAGCCTGAAGCTTTTTCGGGGGGGGGGGGGGGCAACTGGTTTTTCGGGGTCCTGAACGGTCCTCGCACAATGCTAACGCTCAGCAATTCAATCACCCACGTGCTTATCAAACACGATGTTTGCGCCGAGTATGACTAAGCCGCGTCAACATGCGTTTTGTTTTGATATTCGAATCGCTGCCAACTTTTCCTCATTATTTTTTCCGAAACGGAAAGAGATGTTTGATAGCGCACCATCAAAGTTGAAGCAGACGGTAAGTAGACGAAACTTTTATGAGGTTAGTTCTGGGAATATTTTTGGGGGGAGCAAAACATACTCTAAGAGTTGTGGGGGGAGGGGCATGGACACGTGCCCCCCTCCCCTCAGGATCCGCCTATGCATACAGAAAGGGGGCCCGCATTTGGATACACTAGTGACGGTATAAAAGAGGAACAACCGTACAACGTTAGAAACGGAGCTGTGATCAAGCACACCAACTCTGGTATGATTCTGCACTGCAAATCTGCGCATCCGACTTCCACTAAACACAATGTAATTCGTAGTACGCTCCGTATGGCTCTAAGCAACTTATCAAGCAGTGAAAAAGATGGAAGAAGCATACAAACATGGACTTAGCTGTTGAGTAGTGGATATTCTCCACGACCTTTAGGTTGAATGTTGGAAGAGGTCAAAACATCTAGAGCACGTGGGGGGATGTCTGGTAGGAAGCGGGAACACGCCCCGTCAACCGACGGATTCTTAACACTACCTTACACAGATGAGCACTTGCTTTTGAACATCAGACATATCGTTAGCAAATCGAAACTGCGCGTACGCATAGCTTGGACGAACAAGAGGCTAAAATAATTCGAAGGTGAAATATCCTATCTCGAAGCTTAAGTGCCCGAGGGGCAATAACTGCTACTTATGCAAGCCTAGGGTTCAAGGGGTTTGCACGAAAAACAGCGGGGTTTATGAAATTAACGCGCGCCCAGGCGGTCGGTTTAATATCCTTCGCTCGGATGGGAGAGGGGGGGGGGGGGTAATTTCATCCGCTGAGGCCCCAGGAACTAAGAGAGCTAGAGACGCCAAAGTCACAGGGTGTGTTGACCTGTACGTGAACTCACTTAGGTTGAAGTTCGTGGTTTCTAGGTCATGATCTCTGGATTACATAAGATCAAACAAGGTCAAATTCCAGGTTGGTCTCCAAAGGGACTCTGGAACCTAGATAACTGTATTAAGCAAAAGGTCACATGCTCATTTGAGATCAGTGGCCTTGTATGACCTTGCGAAAGTCATTGCGACCAAAATCGTACAAGACTGCTTTAAGTGTTGCGGTTGGATAATGACACTAGGCAGTATGCTGCTAGGCAGTATGCTGCTAAAAACAAAGTCTGAACCTGGGTCATTTTAAATCAGTGACTTATTGTGACTTTTAAGAAGTCCATGGAAGGTGTAAAATATGGTTTTGTTTTCAATTAATTTGAAAAGAGCACCAGAAACTACCTCATACAGCAAGCCCTAGAGTAATAAAAAAGGTTCGTTCTGACATTGGTCTAACCTCCACACCTGATCCTAGTTCAATTTAATTTGCTTATTGAATTGTGTTGTATCCTAAGAAAGTATTTCAGAGATATATGGCTTCGCTTAACACTCCGTTGTTGGATCAGACTGAACGATTCCCGAAAAAATTGCTTTCATGAAACCACGACCTAACTCTGACCTGCCATAGGTCCGTGGCCTTACATAGTGCATCTAAATGTTTGATGCCAGACGATCCGCTATTTAGCTGTCTACAGCTATGCAAAATTTGGCGTGGCTACGCCGCACCATTCGGAAATCATCTCAGACAATTTTCGGGGTAGGGTCAATTTGACCCCCACCCGAGCGCGTGTGAAGTCTAAACTTTGTGAAGGAAAAAAACAGAGGAGTGGTATCGTCGATGTCGGGGAGTCCTTGCGCCTTATTGGTTTGAGATATAATGAACATTTGCGAGATGCCAATATAAAAACAGACAATACCACCGTCAGCGATCTTTTTTGGACAATACACGCTCGGCTGAAATCCAGGGGGATACGGACCATTCACCCCTTTTAGAACTCAGGCCCCTCGAGTAAGTGGAAAGAACCCGATACTAATATGATGGGCCCCTGAGCAACTGAGTGTACCCTGGCGTATGACGCCCCGGAAAAGCGTACAGAGCGTTTTGGGAAAACGGGAGAAATCCGTGGAGGAAAACCTGATCGATCAAGAGTGCTCAGGCATAAATGCAGATAGCGTCCCAACAGCGGCATTGGGCCCTACGAGAAAGTGCAAAGATACCAAGGGCAACGTAGAAAGCTCCCTAACGATCAGACTGACCCGGCAAGTGGACATAAGGGTCCAGGCAACAGCGCTGTGTCTCTGGACGCCGGAATGAACCCAAAAATTTTCCCAAGCATTGCCTTCTCAATCAGCAAAGAATTAACTTTATCTGCTCATAAAGTCTATACTTTTGCTAGTAACCGTTCTTGGTCATCTGTAGGCCCAAAGACGTCCAATTGAGCTGCATGTAACGTTTTGTTAGAAAAGTGTGTCCCGTTGGCCAGTAATGGGCCTCTTGGGAGCTTATAGGTCCCTCGGCATGGTTCATGGGGGGCATGATCCCGTACCTTCCCCTCCCCGTCTGTATCCACCACCGGCTCCAGCAGCTGAATAGGGAAAAGCAGCAGGCCCGTCAAGAACATAGGACCATCCATTCAACTAAGAAGTAACCAAAACACAGCATGGAGAGCCTCGGAACGATCGAGTGTGCCCGGGCAGGTAACAGTTGGGGGGGGGGGGGGCCGACAGGAGCGCGTGGCCAGATCCCGAGCAGGTTTTTACATCGGGTCCCCATGAAGAGCTCAGGGACCTCCATTCAAATAGAAAGTCCTCAAGACCCAATAAAGAGGGCCCCCGAAAGATAAAGTGCGTCCGAGCGTCTTCACAGATAGGGCTTCTAACAAGAGCGTAGGGCCCTCCATTCAAATAAGAAGCACTCAAGACCCAATGCAGATGGCCCCCCGAACGATGAAATGCACCCCAGAAGCTTATCAGAGGAGACCCGATGACAGCGTAAGGCCCTCCATTCAAATGTGAAATACCCGCGGCACGATGTAGAGGGCTCCCAATGATCGAGGGTGCCCGAGAATGTTAACAGATAGGGCCCCGTGAAGATCTCCACTCAAAAAGCAAGTACCCAAGACCCGACGTAGAGGTCACCCAACAATCGGATGCACGGGAGCGGCTTATCAGAAGGGGCCACGACAAGAACGCAAGGCTTTACATTCAAATAAGTAGTGCCGAAAGCCCAGTGCAAAGGGCCCCCGAAAGATGGAGTGTCCCAAACAGATTATCTGATGGACCCTGATAAGAGCGCAGGGCCCTAAATTCAAACAGCGAAACCCAATGTGCAGGGTCCCCAACCAATCCAGTGTGGCCGAACAGTGAGACGAACAGAGAAGGCCCCCGGCAAGTGCCTAGACCCACCGTTCAAAAAAGGATGACCCGGTGTAGAGTCTCCCCCCCCCCCCCCGAGCAATCGAATGTGCCTGAGCAGACTATCGGATGGGCCCCCGACAAAAGCGTAGGGCCCTCATTCAAATAAAACGTACCCAAGACCTAGTGTGGAGGGCCCCCAAAAAGATCGAATGTATGTGAGCAGACTATCAGATGGCCCCCGATAAGAGGGTAGGGCCGTACCTTAAACTCCTCAATGTGCAGGGCCCCCAAACAACGCAGGGTGCCTAAGCAGGTTGACAAATGGGACCCTGACGGGTGCGTGGGGCCTTTCGTTCAAATATGAAATACCCACGACATGGGACCCCCACTGATCGAATGGGTCAGAGCATGATAGCAGATAGGGCGCAGGGCCCTCCATTCAAATCGGAAGTACCCAAGACGAGACGCAAAGGTCCCCTAACAATAGAATGTGCCCGAGCAGCCTATCAGAAGGAGCCGCAACAAGAGCATAGGGCATAGGCCCCTCCATTGAAGTAACAAGTGCCCAAAACCCAGTGCGGAGGGCCCCCGAAAGATGGAGAGTACCCGAGCAGGTTATCAGATGGTCCCGATAGCAGCGCAGGGCCCTAAATTCAAACGCCAAGACGCAATGTGCAGGGCTCGCGGACAATTCACTTTGGCCGAGGAAGTTAACAGAGGGGACCCCAGACAAGTGCGTAGGGCCTCCATTCAAATAGGTGCTTCCCCAAGACCCAATGTAGAGGACCCCCGAAAGATCGAGTGTGTCCGAGCAGGCTATCAGATAGCCTTGACAAGAGCGTAGGTCCCTACATTAAAATACCCGATGTGCCGGGCCCATAGGCAATCCAGTGTACCGGAGCAAATTAACAGATGAGGCCCCGACAAGTGTGCACGGCCCTCCATTCAAGTGGAAAGTACCCTGGACCCAGTTTCGAGCGCCCCGACCGACAGAGTGTGCATAAGCAGTTTTAACAGATGAGCCCCCTACAAGAGCGTAGGGCCCTAGGCAAGCGACATAAAAATGGAAGCGCCCTAGGCCAATGCAGAGGGCCCATGAGCATAACGCAAGTGTGTCGGTAGGTGAACCGAAACCAATGTGAAGAGCCCCCAGGCCACCGAGAATACCCGGGCAAGTTTACATGGGGGTCCTCTGTCATAGCCCACAGAGCATTTCTGGCGACTGGAAGGAATCCGTGGAAGACCTCTGATTGACAAGAGCGCCCCGTCACGCTAGCAGGAAGAGCACAGAAACAGTGCAAGGCCCTCCGAGCAAACGCAAAGCAGTCAGGTCTAACGTGGAAGGCTCCTTAACGATCGAAATGACCTCGCAAGTAGGCATATAGGTCCCCGGAAACAGGACAGGACCCTGGAGGGCGTGATAAGGCTTATAATTCCAATTAACAACTTTTTCCATTATTGAAGATTTTTTATCTTTTCTCGTAGGTCATTCATTTTCGTTTGCAACTGTTCTCGGTGGCCTGGAAATCCAAGGAAATTTTCCTGTGATTTGTGTTAAAATACTGCATTTGTTCGGTCACCTATGGGGCCCCTTCGGATCCCATGGGCCACTTCGAGGTACCACGCGGGTCATGGACCAGTTGACCGCCCTCTCTGGAATCCGCCCTTGGCTCAATCAGTGGTGGAGTTTGGTGCGGGATGAGGCACAGCGGCCACATGCCAACAATTGGAGGGCCAGGCGGAAATCACAATGCCGTTGACTTGTATTGGTGCAGAAAAGTGGCATGCACTATCATATAAATATCGGTAGAACTGCGTTCTCTGTTTCAGTTACGCCTTGAGACACATGCAACTAAACGAAGAACACCACAGCGGCCACATGCCAACAATTAGAGGGCCAGGCGGAAATCACAATGCCGTTGACTTGTATTGGTGCAGAAAAGTGGCATGCACTATCATAGAAATATCGGTAGAACTGCGTTCTCTGTTTCAGTTACGCCTTGAGACACGTGCAACTAAAACGAAGAACCCCAAACCACCCGAAACAAAGTGGTTGAAATCTGGTTACTTTTGTTTCGAAGTAGGCTCTCCTTGGCGACGTGGTTCACGTCACCACCGGACAACTAGATACCGGCTAGGCTTCGGCCCCGTCTAAATACAGGGAACATATGTCCAGAGCCGACATTAGTGACGGAAAGGCCGAATACCCGCGTGGGTTTTCATCATGACCGGTAGCTGACCGCATAATGAAATTAATAATGGCTGAACTTTGCGTAGCGTGAATATCTCATAACTTTACGTACATGCCTATGATCTGCTCCAGAAAATCCGACGCAAGCGTGGAAAGTGAGCCCAAACGCAAATCGGCCACCGTCCCGGGAATCGAAGCCACCACCCACCCGTTACGAACCTAGCACCACCGCGCGGCTCTACACGTTCTCGCGCATCCGGGTATCGAGATAACCATCCAAAGCAAAGCTATACCAGCGATGCCCGCTGCGGACGGAGTTCATGCTTGCCGGCGGTTCAAATTTGCGGTCCCTCAGGAGCCTCGAGCTCTGCTGCCTGACGTACAGCATCCGCTTTAAGCCTTGTGATAAATGCTGACAGTCGGTAACCGGTTATTGATCCGTGCCTGGCATTCAGCCAGGACAAACTGCAGATTATGGGGTGTCTGAAGATGTCAGTGGGCATAGGGACGGCGTTTCGAAACGAAGACGGTCGCTAGTTCAGCTCCGCAATGAAGGGGACCATTAAATAGGTAACTAGAGGACGATTGGACGCATGATTAAAACTCGTGATAGTTCTGTCTCACACTCTCATCGCTCGGATTTTGATTAGATTGGGTCAAAGAGGACATAATCAGCGCTTAAGTCGCTAGTGACATTTCGAAATCGGAATTATAGGCTTCAGCAAGTTAAAAGTGCGAGTGTGCAGAGTTGGCAGAGCTGTTATCACTAGAATGCGAATCTGGTCATTGGATATATTGGCTAGCGAGATGTCACTAAACAGGACCTTCTGTGTCCTGTCGTGAGAAATGTTCAAGAGGAATCCTTCATGATCGGGAATGTGCGAATTGTTCGCGCTCAGGGTGGTGTGCGAGCATTTTTATTAAAGCTATCAATGTGCAAGCAAGGAATGAAAGCAAGCAATGAAATAAGATTTAGGCGATGGGTGAGCACAGTACGCTGTACTTAAACTGAACTTGTTCTGCCAATGGATGAGTTTTTGACCAAATTGCCGGAAGCCATGGCTGCAGTAACCAGACCTCACTTAGCGGCCCAGCACCAGGGTGAATTTTTATATGACGTTTAAATGATGATGACGTTTGACGAATGATGATGACGTTTAAAAAGACTGTCCAACAACGAAGCTTTTATATTTCTAGGCTTTTCAGAAATCCGCAATTTCGTCGCTCGCGACGAAGTTTGGCAATTTCATTGGGATGCGCCGCAATGCATGCTGCATCCTTTCGTGGTATATTGATCAGGACGTGGACAGGTTACATATAAAAGTTATTGCGTGCTGTCAGACGCGATGAAATAAGTCACTCTACCAATCTACACAAGCTAGTAATCGTCAATGAGGTCGGTGGGGACACTGAAGCCGTACAATGCGACTGATTGCAGGGCGAGCGCGACCGCTCGTCCGCGGTTCCTGTGACCCCATATCTCCCTGTGGACGATCCGGCCCAGGCCGTGGTAGCACCGCACCGTAGCAGGACACGAACAAGTCATCTTTGCGCACACCGCACTCATCCAATTCATGCTCACCGCAGCACAATAACTGAGAATTCGTGCTGAAGCTCGACACTTCATCGCGACGCTCCACGATAGCGATGGACGCTCAGCAGAGTTCGCGACCAACGAGCATGACGGCACGGCAGGCGAATCTGAACTGCCCCCCCCCCCCCCCCCGTGGACTCATGATTCGACACAATGTTCGTCATCGGCAGCGTGCCTGCGTCGTCCCCAAACTCCTCACCCGCGCCGGGCATTCGGCTCCCGTCTGAGCCTTTCTGCGGGTTCCGGCGTCGCAGACACCCCACGTGCCAGGGCGTACCGTCGACCTCAACCACCTGGTCCGACACAACCCGCGTCACTACGCCCTGGCGCGACACATCGGTACACCGCGTGGCGGGCCCCTGGCGCCGCATCTGCACCGCATCGCCGACGCGAAACGACGATGAGACGGGTTCCTGCATCATCATCGGTGCGGGCTGACACATCGGTGCGGGCTCGGCAGCGCGCTGGCCGGTCGGCAGGTCGGCACCGGCTGCGCGTAATACCTGCGCCATCGGCACGCTCAGCGAGTTAGCACCGTCCTGCGGAGTCGCATTGTACCGATGCACCGCTTCACTGACGGAAGACCTTTGGCGGGCGACCATCACCTTTATAGTTCCGTGATGGCGCTCCACGATTTCGTGCCGCCGGCCTCGTGCACCGAGCGAGACCGCAGCCGACCCCCCCCCCCCCCCCCCCCACTTCGCGGCGAAAGCATTCATTCGCCGGCTCCGGAATTCAGTGGTATTGTCCAGCACAAGCTCAGCCGGCGCGCCGCGTTCTAGGAACACTCGATGCAGATAATCCGTCACTTCTGCCGCGTCAGACCGTCGCAGTGCGCTCCAAATGCTGCACCGGGACGGACCGCAGTCTACGATCGTGAGGTAGAGGCGGCAGTGGCAATGGGTCACGTCGATCGTGAGTCGGCTCCATGCTGTCGGGACGCCGAGTGAGCCGGACCGCCGGCGAGTCGGCGCCGGGTCAATCGAACGGCACACATCGCACTGGCTGGCGACGGCTCGCACGTCGGCGCGTGCGACGTGTCTGCCGAGGTCCAGTCTGGCGTACCACAGAGACCGGCGGATCCCCTGGTGCCACGTACGTTCGTGTATGCTTTTAATCCAGGCACGAACGTCGCTTGCCGTGGGTTTGTGAGCGGCTTCTTAGTCTGCTGGGGGCGCCGCGACTTCTTCCGGCCCGATAGTGGCGGAGACCGAAGTCGTATCTTGCGGGGTGCCCTGAAACATTTTGGCGCGGCGGCTGCTGCGGCTGAAGTCGCATCTCGAGGCTCTGCTCGCAGCCAGGTCTGGGGAACTCGGGTGAGCGCGTCGGCAGGATTGTCTTAAGACTGCACCAGCTGGACGGTCACCGAGAGCTGGAACTCGTCGACCAACTGTCGCATGAGGCCAATCCTGTGTCTGATCAGCATCTCCCCTGCGCCTTTGTTCTGAGATGAGAGCGTCCGCTCAAGGCGTCATTCAACCACTTGAACACTGCGGCTGAGTCCGTGCGTAAGCTGAAGCGCTTAACGCCCCATGCTAGGGCCACGTTCACGCCACTCATCGCCGCGTCCAACTCGGCCATGTTGATATGTTCCGCCGCCTTGGCATCTGGCCGGTGCCACGCGGCATCCCCGAGAACGCCGCCCTCTGTATCCTCCAGGACTACCCCATTCGCGATGGAGCTCGCGTCAGTCCACACCACGAGCTCCCGGCCGACCATTCCCAACGGCCCACGAGCAGGGTCAGCTGCCCTCACCCGCGTTGCGACTTCCTGGATATGCGCGCGCAGTGCATCACCCGACACTGGGTCGTCCCATCCGATCGTCAGGCCGTTCACTCGCCTCTCTAGCCAGGCAGCTGCTGCCCGCAAGCATCCCGCCACGGGGAGGTGCACCACCAGCTGCCCGCATCACGCAAACACTGCACGCCGGGTGAGCTCGGTCGGCGGTGGACGTACCTGATTGTCTCGACACCACCGCAGCTCTTCATCCCGAGCCTCGACCCGAAAACAGAGCATTCGCGCTCCGTTCGCGACGCGCTCCGGCGGCTTGCAGGCCAGCCCGTACCTCGCAAAGTGCTTCACCACCTTGTCGGCGCTGACCACGTCTTCGCCAACGAGCAGGGCGTCCACATAGGCGAGCACTCCCCGGCTGATCGCCTCGTTCTCACGCAGCACCGCCTGAACAACGGTCTTCATAATCAACGGCGCCACATCGAGGCCGAATCCGAGCCGCGTGATGCTGTAGGTGCGGCCCTTGACCTGCACCGTCTGATACGGCCACAGCCGGCGCCTCAGACACAGCTGTAAGTACGCTTTTCGCGGGTCGACCACGGCCAACCGGGCAACATGCTGGCGCCAGCGGCGCAACTGCTCGGCGCACACGTCAGTATCCGCGGTGTGCGCTGTCACATGCCGATTGAGTTCGCGGTAGTCCAACACCGGCCTGACCTTCCCCTTGTGCGGCTGTTGGACTGCCATCAAGGGAATCAGGCCCCGAGCGGGATCGTCCTCTTCCTCGTCATAGGGCCGGAACCATCCGTTCGCCACCCACTCAGCCAAGTCGCGCCAGCAGGCCTCTTATGCTTCAGGCGCACAGCGTACTCACTCACGATGTTCCGGAGACGCTCGGGACCACGCACGTGCGCCCACTTCCACGCCACATTCCAGTGAGCGCCGTCGAACCGAGCCGCGAAATTCGCCGCTTCCAACGCCAGTGAGCTTCGCGTGTCGCTGCCCGGCGCCACCGCACCGCATGCCGGCTCGTCACTTGCCGACTCCGGCGCCTCCTGCGTTGCCGCACCCAGCTGCACATCAGTCGGGGACCGAACACTGATGCCCCCTAACGCGGTGATGCCGGACATGCCGATCAGCACGTCCAACCCCAATGGACGATCCGGGACCACCAGCGCCGCGAGCATTACTCGCTTGCCTCTGCAGTCGAACGTCACCTGGGCGGTGCCCACGCACCGCAACACTTTATCGCTAACCGCTCGCATCTTGACCGCGCACGGGCGCCACGTGCGGCAGCAGCTCACGTGAACCAGGGTGTCCGCACATCCCGTGTCCAGCAGGGCACGCTGGGGGCGCTGGTCCACCAGCCGTGTCACGACTGGCAGAGCGCGCGCTACTGGTCGGGGGACTGCGCTGGCGCTAACACAGCCCCCTGCCTGTGTAAGCACGCCGCTGCCAGGTGACCCGCCCGTCCGCAGGTCCAGCACCTCCGGACGGGTCGCCTTGTCGGACGCGTCTGTCGGGTTCTTCGTTCTTCGTGCGCTCCAGCCGCTGCCACTGCCGCACCGGCACGTTCGTCGCTCAGCACTGTCCGGGCTCGCACCAGGGTGCTCGCCAGACTCAAAGCTTCCGCCCGGGAGTCAGCGCGGACAGTCCTCCGCACCTCGTCGGGCAGGCCGGCGAAAAAGCGCACGTGACCACGTTTTCCGGGGTCCCACCGCACAGAGCTGCGAGACGCCGTAAGTCCGCCAGGAACATGTCAGGCGACTCACCAGGCAGCAGCCGTTGGCTGGTATATGCGTCGTACGCGGCGAGGCGACCCATCGCAAACGCGTCACAGAGAGCATCACGCATGGCGTCACTCGATGCGCGCGCCTCCTCAGGCATCTGCAGCCAGACGGCAAACGCGCGACCCTTGAGTCGCGCCGACAGAATGCTGGGCAAGCCTGATCAACGATGACGGCGGAGCACGGCCGCTCTCGTGAACCACTCTACGACGTCGGCCGTGCCATGAACTCGGGGATGAGTCGCGCGTCGAACAGGCCTCCACCAGTCACCGCGGCCCCTCTGTCCACTCCGGTCGTAGTATTCGGCATCACTGGCCTTGGGACACTCGCAGCAGCCGTTGTCACAGCATCGCCACTGGCCGCGGCGGTTTCGGGCATGATAGCCGAAATAGTTTGTAAAAGAACGTAGGGTGCATGCGCCCTGACCCGTCCAAAAACCGACTGGCACCTGCAAGCATTGGGTCCCTGCCGCCGCCTCAGCGGCCGACCCTTGACCCTCGGCGAATCGGGAGACCCGCGGTCACGTGACGCCCCCCCGGCACACAGTCAGATGTAGAGCCCGGAAGACAGCGAGAGCGAGGGCGCACACCCTCCACAATCACACCACGATTTCAAACACAAACTCTAATGAAACCTCGGAACCAGATACATATATCGATATCACTGGTTCATGACACCGCAGCATTATCAGGACACACAAAGGAGATGCATTTGTGGTGTTTTCGAGTCCAAATTACCCCCTCAACACTTTGTAAAGGCACTACGCCTTTTCCCTGCAGTCGCAACCGCCGTCATGACAACTGCCGCATTGTCCATATGGCCTGCCAGTATTGTCCTTATCTCGTGGTGCTCTCATCGGGCTCGCTGGTCCCCCATGCTGGAAAAGATTCAGCCATATTAAACCCAAGAGAGTCGACAAAAAAGGCCAGAAGTGCACATGGCATTCACACAAAACTGCAGTACGACTATGTTGCAAAATATTTGTAGTTGCAAAATATTTGTGCAAACCGAGTGATGTTAAGAAAATAGCAATTGAAAACACCACATGCTGCAAGGTGGCACCGGCAACAATGCGGCAAGATGGCTGTATCGTCTCAAAAAGCCATAGAAACGTGAACCACTCTTTTTTAAAGTACGGATGCCTTTAGCCGGGCGTTAAGCAGGTGGTGCTTTCACGGTGCGAAGCTGTGGGATTGAGCCAGTGTCCTAGAATTGCCGACTTTGAGTGTAAAGCAACACCCTATGAGGAGGGATTTTTCACTCCTTTTCCTCATATTTTATGTGAATTTTTCACTCCTGCCTGACATCGTCCAATCGCACATGCAAAACCTGTATTTCCGTTTCTGAGGTTTTGAGATGTCATCCAAAACCGAGCTCACTTGAAACCACCAAGCATAAACGTGGCTCTGCGGAACCTGGACACCTATGGCTATGTCCTGCATCACCTACATCTGAATCATGTCTATGTTTACACGGAGCAAGGGCGCCAGGTACCTCCAAACCCAAGAACCCCAGCGACCTCAGCCGCTTGCACGCATTAAGTTTGGTTTGTTTACAAAATGCATCACAATCTGCAGCTGCGCGACAAATGCAAGCTTTTCACGCATCCCCTATTTGTTTTTTTTTGGGGGGGGGAGGGATCTCACCATCACACCACGAAAGCAGAGCCTGGTGCAAACGCAAGCAAGGTCTGGTAGATAATTTGTATCCACGCATTTCTGTTTCCCGAGGAAACTTGACCACTGAATTGCATCACTTCCAAAATGCATGGGTGAAAAGTTCAAGAAATGTCTTCTAAACTAAACTTTGAAGATGAATATCGCCATTTGAACACTTGTATTAACAGATTTTAAGTCAAATCGACTGATTACAAAATTTTGCGTGAAAAATACCAGCTTTTATATTTATTTAACTACTTTTGTTTTTCTCGGTATCATACCAGTGTGATACCCCTTTATTCTTCCTTGCTTTTCGATTATCTTTAGAGGCACCACCTGCTGCTTAAAATTTGACCAATTTCTCTGCAAGATGCTCCAACTACAAACTTGTACGTATTTTATACATAAATTGGGTTAATTTGCCAGCCGCCCAAACATGCTTGATATGCACCCAAGTGTGAACAATTCACAGGGAATGGAGGAGACAATTTGAACCACGGAACTTATTTTTACCGCCATTTTTGCCCCCTTAAACCTTTGGTTGACCGTTTTCTTGGTTCATGGCGGTGCCCAATAATGATAAATCCAAGCCTTTCGAGTGTCCGACTCACCAGGCTACCTGGCAAGGCTATTAAGGCAAGGCAAGGCTGCCATATAGAGCCTTGGGACAGACCTGACGCAGCTAATACAAAAGTGTTTGATGGCGAAATTCTGCCCTCTGGAGATGTTTATCGTGCACACCTCTTACTTGTTTCGCATTTTAATCTCGAAGTTTGGTGGGCTTGACTGAAATTTATGTTTGGGGGTGAGTCGAAAGACTCTGCCACCAGAAAATGCAAAAGGTGCTGAATTTTGTTTTGGAGGGAGCAGGAAGAAGCCAGTAAGTCTACTGTGGACCCAATGAGTGCTTACCTTACTTGCTTTCAGCACATAAGGAAGACAAGTTATGAGGCCACAAGCTTATTTTGTTCTATATTATTGGTGAATTACCCCAAATTTCTTAAAGTGGGTCCCTCATGGCTGGTTTAACCAGATGTTTTCTCTAGTTGTCATGGTTCGCTGACCGGCAAATGACTGTACTCTATATATGCACTATATTTTTAATACATGGATACTCCAAGCTGCACAGCAATTATAACATGAGTGAAATATTGATATGTAACAAATAGTAAGGCCATCCCATGTAAAATGTGAAGCACACATGTCAAACTTTGTCATTAAATATGAATAAACAAGCCCAAATGGATGCATTTGCTGCTGCTGAAAAGGCAAGCAGCAATACTGGCATGGTCATCCAAAAGTTATGTCATTTTTGGAGAAGAGAGATTGTTTTGTGGAGCATACACATTTTTGCCCTTGCCATAGGTTAACCATGACACTCAAAATAAATTGTTCAAAATGATTTAGAGTGTTTTGATTTGTGTGTTGTCCACTTTGTCTGATGTCAACAAGCATACATAAATAAACTGACTAATGCGAGTTCAAACCAGCCAAAAACTAGCTTTAAATATCATGTGTTTGTCGCAAGTGCTGCTGTCAACAGGTAGGTGACTTGAGATGATGTTCATCATATGAGCTACTCTAAGTTAGGTTAAGTTGGTCAAGTGCATGACAAGTGGCAATAGGAATTGTCCGAGAATCAGCAACTCACAACTGCTGCTGTGATACAAACAAGTTATACAGGATGAGATGATGTAAGGCCTGTTCAGGTCAGGCATAGGCTACTTTCATGGAAATAAGCATTGGTATTTTTTTAAGAAACAGTGACAAAATGTTTGTTTTCCCTACCCCATCTTAACAGAAGACAGAGGTTTGTCTATTGTGTTTGGCTTGGTGGTGAGCTGATATGTAGTAGCCTAAGGTTTTTTTTTGCGTGTTTTATGTTTGTTGCATTTTCTGTTGTTATTTTGTTATTGAATTCCTTCGCTTTGTTTTGTTTTAGAAGTGCTGTGGAAGGCAATTGAAAAGTGCAGCATCAAGTTATCGGTGCTAATAATTTGTTATGCTCAGTACTGTCATGAAATCGCTATGCTGTAACACGCGCCCGGTGGGCCGGCTAGATACCCTTCGCTCAGTTTGTTTGTCAGTTTGA